GAAGAGATGGACTTAGTAGGGATATATAGAACATTCCATCCAAAAACTGCAGAACATGCTTCCTTCTGAAATGCACATGGAACATTCTCCAGGATTGGTCACATAGTAGGACACAAAACAAGTCTCAATAAATTTAAGAAGACTGAAATAATACCAAGCATCTTTTCTGACCACAACGGTATGAAAGTAGAAGTCAACTACAGGAAGAAAATCAGAAAAGCCACAAATATGTGGAGATTAAACAAAAGTCTACTGAACAATGATTCAATCAATGAAGAAATCAAAGGAGAAAGCAAAAATTGCCTGGAGATAAATAGAAATGAAAATACAACACGCCAAAATCTATGGGATACAGCAAAAGCAGTTCTAAGAGGGAAATTTGTAGCAATTCAGGCCTACCTCATCAAACAAGAAAAATCCCAAATAAACAATCTAACAGTGCACCTAAAGGAACTGGAAAAAGAAGAACAAACACAGCTCAAAATTAGTAGAAGGAAGGAAATAATAAAACTCAGAGCAGAAATAAATGAAATAGAGACTAAAAAAGGAAAAAAGAAAAAATCAATGAAACCAAGAGCTGGTTCTTTGAAAACAAAATAATTGACAGACCTTTAGCTAGACCCACCAAGAAAAAATGGGAGAAGCCTCAAATAATAAAATCAGAAGTGAAGGAGGAGAAATTACAATGGACACCTCAAAAATACAAAAGATCATAAGAGAATACTACAAAAAGCTATACACCAAGAAATGGGATAATCTAGAAGAAATGGATAAATTCTTAGAATCATACGACCTTCCAAAACTGAACAAGAAAAAATAGAGAATTTGAATAGACCAATCAGCAGTAAGGGGATTGAAACAATAATCAAAAATCTCCCCAAAAATAAAAGTCCAGGACCAGATGGCTTCCCTGGTGAATTCTACCAAACATACAAAGAAGACCTAATACTTATCCTTCTCAAACTATTCCAAAAAATTGAAGAGCAGGGGGAGCTTTTTAACTCATTCTACGAAGCCAACATTACCCTGATTCCAAAACCAGACAAGGACAACGCAAAAAAAGAAAATTACAGGCCTATATCACTGATGAACATTGATGCAAAAATCCTCAAGAAAATATTAGCAAATCAAATACAACAATACATTAAAAATATCCCACACCATGATCAAGTGGGATTCATTCTAGGGATGCAGGGATGGTTCAACATCTGTAAATCAAGCAATGTGATGAACCACATTAACAAAATGAAGAATAAAAATCACATGATCATCTCAATACATGCAGAGAAAGCATTTGACAAGATATAGTATCCATTTATGATAAAAACTCTGAATAAAATGGGTATAGAAGGAAAGTACCTCAATATAATAAAGGCCATATATGACAAACCCACAGCTTATATCATTCTTAATGGGGAAAAACTGAAATTTATCCCTCTAAGAACAGGCACCAGACAAGGATGCCCACTTGCAGCACTCTTATGTAACATAGTATTGGAAGTCATAGCCAGAGCAATCAGGCAAGAAAAAGAAAGATAAGGGACCCAAACTGGAAAGCAAGAAGTGAAACTGTCACTATTTGCAGATGACATGATTTTATATATAGAAAACCCTAAAGAATCCACTGAAAAACTTTTAGAAATAATAAATGAATATGGTAAAGTTGCAGGATACAAAATCAACATACAAAAATCAATTGCATTTTTATACACTAACAACGAAGTAGCAGAAAAAGAAATTAAGAATACAATCCCATTTATGTTTGCAACAAAAAATATTGCTAGGAATTAACTTAACCAAAGAGATCTATACACTGAAAACTATGAAACATTGTTGAAAGGGATTGAAGAAGACTCAAAGAAATAGAAAGATATTCCGTGCTCTTGGATTGGAAGAATTAACATAGTTAAAATGTCCATACTTCCTAAAGCAATTTACAGATTCAATGTAATCCATTGAAGTTTCAACAACATTTTTCATAGAAATAGAACAAAGAATCCTAAAATTTATATGGAACAACAAAAGACCCCGAATGGCCAAAAGAACTCTGAGAAAAAAGAAGAAAGCTGGAGGTATCACACTCCCTGATTTCAAATATACTACTAAATTATGGTAACCAAATCAGCATGGTACTGGCACAAAAACACACACACAGATCAGGGGAACAGAATCGAGAGCCTGGAAGTAAACCCACACATCCATGGACGTCTAATTTTCGACAAGGGAGCTAAGAACATACAATGGAGAAAGGAAAGTCTCTTCAATAAATGGTGTTGGGAAAACACTGCAGCCACATGCAAAAGCATGAAAGTAGACCATTATCTTACACCATACACAAAAATCAACTCAAAATGGATTAAAGACTTGAATGTAAGACCTGAAACCATTAAACTTCTAGAAGAAAACAACAGGCAGTACACTCTTCAACATCAGTCTTAGAAGCATATTTTCAAGTACTATGTCTGTCTGGGCAAGGGAAACGATAGATAAAATAAACAAATTAGACTACATCAGACTAAAAAGTTTCTGCAAGGCAAAATAAACCATGAACAGAACAAAAAGACGGCCCATCAATTGGGAGAAAATATTTGCAAATCATATCCAACAAGGGGTTAATTTCCAAAATTATGAAGAACTCATACAACTCAACATAAAAAAAACAAACAATCTGATCAGAAAACTTCTAAAATAAACAGCATTAAGTCTTTGTAAATTTGGGGTAGGCAAATATTTCTTAGGATAAAAACAAAAGCACAGACCATAAAAATTATTGATACGTTGGACTTAAAATTTAAAACTTCTGATTTTAATAAAATTAAGAAAATTACAGTCAGCCACAGATTTTGAGAAAAAAAATCACACTTCATACAGGACAAAGGACTTTTATCCAGAAAGAATTCTTGCAACTCCATAAGAAGACAAGAATTCAATTAAAAAATGGACAAAGTGTTTGAAAATAAACTTCCCCATAGAAAGTAGACAAATGGCAAACAATCACATGAAGAGAGGCTCTTTGTGATTAGTTATCAGATAAATGCAAAATAAAATCACAAAGAAAGTGTGTATAATATCTTAGTGATGTCATAATGATAAACAATAAGTGATATACAATAAAACTTTTGGGCTGAACTTACTCTTATTGAATTTCTAATTTAAGATTATTTGATAAGAAACAATAATCATATATTTCAAGTTATAGTCCCCGATTTACATATATTCATATATCACATTACATATATTCACACATTCCCATAAACTTCTAACCAAGTTTGCAAAGAGCATTTTATTTAAATTAGCCTTCTTCCCACCCAGTAAGAACAAAAATCAATAATTGTTTATTATTTTAAAAATGAATGTCTTTACAAGAATTATCTTATTAAATGCTTGACATTTAACAACGTAACTTCTGTAAAATACTAATTTTATAAAAGCATGGTATTCTTGTCCTGTCATGCCTGGGCATAGAGATTGGGGTATAGACTCCATCCTATGGATATAAGTTCATCAGAGAAAGAGAGCTCTAGCCTCTCGGCCACACTCATCGGAATTTTGCCTCTTCAACTCAGAGTTGGAGGGGATGAGTAATGCTGGCGGCCTGCCCCTCCTGTGAGATGTGGTAACCTTGACTGCGAACTGAGAAGAGTGGTAGTCCCACATTCTTGACTATATCCGCCTGGAGTGGAGCTTCCATCAAGCTAGGCTGTGATGGGGGAGGGAGGGAGTGGGTCATGGCTCAAACGCCATGGATTCTTGATGTTCTTACTGAGTTTCAGTCGATTTGCTTGAGTAAATGTTGCTTCATTTGTCTTTAGGACAATTTCCAGAGAATTTACAAAGTTGTATTTTTTTTTTTTAAAGATTTTATTTTTTCCTTTTTTTCCCCCAAAGCCCCCCGGTACATAGTTGTATATTCTTCGTTGTGGGTCCTTCTAGTTGTGGTATGTGAGACACTGCCTCAGCGTGGTTTGATGAGCAGTGCCATGTCCACGCCCAGGATTCGAACCAACGAAACACTGGGCCGCCTGCAGCGGAGCACGCGAACTTAACCACTCGGCCACGGGGCCAGCCCCTACAAAGTTGTATTTTTATAGTTTTGACCAGCTTTGCTTTTTTGGGTGGGGAGCAGGTCCAAGGAGCTCCTGGAAGTGGAACCAACTCGGTGAAAACTTGTGACTTTGTTATGTTTGTTGGAATCATTTGAAAGTTTCGCTAATTTTTTTTTTACAAGGAAGGCCCTCAGCAATATTATGATAGATTCTTTCTTTAAATACAAATAAACATAAACACACACGACTCAAACTCAGCTTTTAAAAAAATATGTCCAAGAAAAAGAACATGTTGCTAGTAACACCCAATAAAAATTAAATCGGAATACAAGAAAAGAATTATATTTCATTTCTTAATTTGTGCCTGTGAGCCCATTACACACCAATAACATACTTTACAATGTATTAGATTCAAGCCAGTTTGGAGAAAAACTTCACAGATAATGTTATTTGGAAAATTGGATGTCAGGAAAAGGAGACTAAAGATAAAATATAAGGTTAAATTTCCGTATAATCTTGTTAGGCTTGTGTTATAGTCTAAATTGAGGCTTGAAGTTTGGGAAGTGAAAACAAGAAACAAAGTATACATAAATTTCAAACTCACTAACAGGAGGCATCTATGATTCATTAGAACTGTTGTGCTTTCTATCAGACCTCCTTACTCAAATATTTAGTAAAAATTAACAATAAAAGCACTAATTCTCAATTTACACATGTCAGAGGCAAAGAAAAAAGGGTTTTAAAGGTCAGCTATTAAATGTTCAAACTACAATCTGTTAACCAGGTTCTATTAGATTTAGGTGAATATATTTTTTTAAATTTTATTTTTGTGTCCCTCAGTTCTTTCTGTAGACACACACACACAGACACACACAGATAGGCACACCTAGAAACACTGACCCCAGTGAGAATAACATGCTGTTTGCTAAATATTTGAAACAGGTAAGCCATTACCATGCTCCACCATTTTTGTGGGCAACCAGAAGAGGATGAAGGAATGGACCAAAGCACTTAGACAGCGAATCCAAAACACCTAAAAGAAAATAAAGCAAGAAAGTCAGGATAATACCTTGGTCTAAATCGAATAACATATGACTTTATGAAGTACCTTTGCTGTGTGAAACACAGTTACAAAGCTAAAATGTTTTCCTGGAGATTGAAAAATTCCATCTCTTTACTCTACTTTCAAAAGAAATGACTGTGAAATTATATGATAATATTATTTGAAAAACACTTATTAAATATAAATTTGTAGAACTCAAATATAGTATACTTGTTATAAAAAATATAAAGGTTTAAATTATCCAGTGCAAGAGAACCAGAAGTAATTTTTAAAAGAAATAATAAAAATATTTTCCATCTTTAAATTATACTTTAAATATAACTTCATAACATTTTATGTGATACACTCTGCATCTTTATATCCCCACCCTGACTGTGATCAAAATAATTTTTAATATGGGGGGAGGGAAAAAGGAGTAAAAGGGCACATACATAATGGTGGTGGATAAAAACTAGACTATTAGGGGTGAGCAAGATACAGTCTATACAGAAACTGATACATAATAATGTACAGCTGAAATTACACAATGTTATAAACCAATATGATCTCAATAAAATAATTGAAAAAACAAACCAAAAACAAATAAAAAATAATAATTGTTAATAGATCATATACAATTTTCTCAAAGGAAATCTCAATAATATAAAATATCTGGGGCCAATCAAACAAGGGGGCATATTGGTTAGGAGATGCTAGAATAAAAATAAAAACAAGTCTTTGTTCTTTCAGTTCTAAATATACCAACTATTTTCATGCTTGCCAGGAAGACTTACAGATAAAGTTCCAGAAAAGAAAAGAGCATAGAAAAAACATATCTGGCCCATGACCCAAATTTACTGGAGTAAAGCAGTTTTTAGGCAAAAATGTAAGAAACTGGTTAAAAACAAAGATAACGCCAAACTGGAAAACCTCAACATTCATGGAACATTGGGTAGGGTACACAGAAAGTTTCTACCTCAGAAGTGGAGAAAAACTATCCTTGGACTCAGCACCTCTCCTTTCCTGCCTAATAAATCTTAAAAGCTAGATCCAAAAGGATGCAACTGTTTCCAATTAACTTGCTTGTGTTCCAGAACAAAACTCAAGAATACTTAGAATAACACAGAAATATCCAGCACTCACATAGGTGAAATTCTTGAAATCACGTATCCCATTCAGAATTCCCAGCCAGGCAATGGTACCCCGAATGAGGAGGGAAATAAATCAACCAGATCCAACCCAGAACCAACACAGATGTTAGAATTCGCAGACAAGGATATTGAAATAATTCTATAACTGTACTCTTTATGCTCAAAAAGTTAAGTAGGGAAACGGAAGATATAAAAAAAAGTCCAAATAGAAATTCTACCGATCAAAAACTACAATGTGTGAGATAAATTTACTAGATGGGGTTGATGCAGATTCAACATTGCAGAAGAAAAAATTAATGGCAGATAAGACACTGCAGAGGTAAACTTGAAGCCAAAACAATGAAAATATCCAAAATGAAACAGAGAGAAAGGAGAATTTATAAAACAAAAATATAGTTTCAATGAGGTTTTGGACAACTCCAAGTGACCTAATATATGTATGACTGGAAGCAATGAAAGGCGAGAAGATAGTCCAGAAAAAAATATTTGAAGAAACAATGGCTGAAAACTTTGCAAATTTGATATAGACTGTAAACCAGGAGACATTTTCTGCAAAGGACAAGGTAGTATTTTAATCTTTGTGGCCACGTGATCTCTTCTGCAACCACTCAGCTCTGCAACTGCAGCTCTAAAGCAGCCATGGATGATTTGTAAGTGAAGAAGCACAGCTGTGTTCCAATAAATCTTTTTTTTATAAGAATAGACGTATTCTTATTTGCTATATTTAGCCTATGGGCCATAGTTTGATGATCTTCTTACTGTAACTCACAGATTCAAGAAGCTCACTGAGCCTCAAGATAAGAAACAGGAAGACATAAGACACATCACAATCAAATTGCTCAAATTTAGTAACAGAGAAAAAGTTCTTAAAAGCAGCCAGAGGAAAAAAAGACACATTAAAGGCATAAAGATGATGAAGACAGCAATTTCACATCAAAACAATGCAAACAAGAAGACAATGGAAATTACTGAAAGAAATAAACTGGAAACCTACAATTTTATGCCAAACAAAAATAAATTTCAAAAGTGAAGGTGAAATCAAGACTTTCTCAGACATACAAAAGCTGAAAGAGTTCATCACCAGCAGATTTGCACTACAAGAAATGTTAAATGAAGTTCTTCAGGCAGAAAGAAAATTATAACAGATAATATGAATCTACACAAAGGATAAAAGATCACTGAAAATAATAAATACATGGGTAAAGATTTAAGTGTTACTCTTACTATTCAAATTACTTTTAAAAATAATTTTTTAGGGGCTGGCCCCGTGGCCGAGCGGTTATGTTCGCGTGCTCTGCTGCAGGCAGCACAGTGTTTCGTTAGTTCGAATCCTGGGTGCGGACATGGCACTGCTCATCAGACCACGCTGAGGCAGCGTCCCACATGCCACAACTAGAAGAACCACAACGAAGAATACACAACTATGTAGCGGGGGGCTTTGGGGAGAAAAAGGAAAAAATAAAATCTTTAAAAAATAATAATAATAATAATAATAATTTTTTAAACAAAAATATGAACAATATGGTGTGGGGTTTATAACATGTAAAAGTAACATGTATGACAATAGTCCAAAACTCAAAAAGAGAGAAATGGAAGTATATTATATTAAGTTTGGTTTGGTTTTTTGTTTTTTTGTTTTTTTTGGTGAGGAAGATTGGCCCTGAGCTAACACCTGTTTCCAATCTTCCCCTTTTTGCTTGCGGAAGATTATTGCTGAGCTAACATCTGTGCCAATCTTTGTCTGTTTTGTATGCGGGGTGCTGCCACAGCATGGCTTGGTGAACAGTATGTAGGTCCACGTCCAGGATCTGAACCTGCAAACCCCAGGCCACTAAAGTGGAGTGTGTAAACTTAACCACTACACCACCAGGCCAGCCCCTAAGTTTTTATACTTTATGTGAAGTAGTAAATCGCTTGAAGGCAGACCATAATTACCTGAAGATGTATGCTATAAACCCTAAAGGAAGTTCTAAAATAAGAAAATAAAGAGTTAAAGCTAACAAGTCAACTAGGAGATAAAATGGAACCATGAAAATTAACCCAAAAGAAGGCAGAACAAGAGAAAAGAAGGAAACAAATTACAGATGGGAAAAATAGAAAATGTATAGAAAGATGGTAAGTTTAAACCAAACCACACCCATAAGCACATTAAATGTAAATGTTTTAAACACTCAGTTAAATGGTGGATACTGTCAGATTGGATAACAAAGCAAGACCACAAGTGACCTACACGAAACACATCTTAAATATGAAGGCACAAATAGGTTAAAAGTAAAAGGATGGAAAAAGACCTATTGTAGAAACATTGAAAGACAAAAGCTGGAGTGATTATATTACTGTCAAATTAGATTTTAGATCAAAGAAAACACCTGGAATAACAAAGGTCATTTCAGAATGAAAAAGGGGTCAATCAAGAGAATATAACAATCCTAAACATTTATACACCTAATAACATAACTTTAAAATACGTGGAGCAAAGCTGGTAGAACTGCAAAGGCAAATAGATGAATCCACAGTTTTGGTTGGAGATTTCAGTACCTCTCCATAATTGATAGAACAATTGGACATAAAATCAGTGAGGGTGCAGAAGTTTTGAACAACACTATGAACTTGACCTAATTCGTGCATTCCCCTCCAGTGAAGATGAAATGTTTAGAAGATAGACCATATTTTGAGCCATGAAGCAAGTCTCAATGCATTTAAAAGGCCTATGTTTCTTCTAGGTGGCTGTATTTTTTAAAAGCTTTACAAACGGTTGAGATGCAGTTAGGTTTACTCTCACAGCCTGTAAGACATTGACTCATAAAATGCATAGCTAAACTGAAAATAAGTGAATTAAAGAACGAAGGTTTTTTTTGTTTGTTTTGACCTAGGACTTGATATTAAACTTGAGTCATTATAGGCAACATTCCAACATCTCAGTTTTTAGCTTTGCAATGATTTCCTATTTCTGGGGATGATTTAAAAATATGAAGACATTTGGGGAGGGAGAAGCGAATCATTTACTCTTTTCAGAGAGTAAAATGATGCAGGTTGTGAGCAAGTTATACCGATACACTCAGGGAGTGAAAGTGGTGCATCACCAAGAGGTGGCAAAGAAAAAGCCGCTGTTGGGCCACTGCTGCAGCGTACTTCATGGCGGGAGGGGGTGGGCAGAAACAGGAAAATGTCCACCACAGTGCTGGGGACAAGACTCATCCCGGGAAAAGTACAAAACGGCATACACCATGGCATAATACCCTCTCCCTGTCTCCATTCAAAGCTGCTGTCTGGTAAAAGTAAGATGGAAAAAAATTGATGCGGCTTACAGTGTTATCATTAACCTGAAATAGCGTGTTAATAGGGGCCAAAGCAAGAATCAAACCAATCTCCCACATTAGTGATTGACTTGGTGTGGCAACTTAGGGGTGGGTGGAAGGAAAAAAATGAAAGAAAGCCTGATATCGCACAACATCTGCCTAATCATAAATGCAGCTGCGATAAGAGGGGCTGGGACAAAGGTCAACGAGAATTCAGACACAGGCAGCAGAGAGAGTTTAGTTCTGCTGCTGATGACAAACACGGTGGGGACCACCGCAGACTCATAAAACCCTGCCTCCCTCTCTCTGTTTCTCTCAGACTTTAACTTTGATGAGAACAACCTGAGGATTCTAAACGCCTTCAAGATTTGGTTTAAAAAGAGAAGGTTGGAATTGCCTTCCCTAGACAGACTTGAGAAAATGGCGAACAGAGATTGCCGTGGGTCCCCAAGACACACGACACCTGCCATGGCGCTCAGTGCATCTATGGTGTGTAATAGTTCAAGGCTTATGTCACATATCATTGCCGAGCCCATGGGAGGCATGTATCCCAATGGCATTTAGCAATTAAGGAAAGGAAATAGGTGAGTCTGGTGTGTCCGTTTCCTTGTTTACAGAGTGGTGCCTTGATCATAGACTACTGACACTTTCCTTAGGCAGGGCCACCTAACACATAGGAGCCCCAGTTTTCCCATCTCTAAAGCCAGGACACTTAATCCAGGAGTAAAGAGGAGAATCTCCAAACTGATCTGATTCAAACATTGGGGCAATACGCTTTTCATCTGTGGTACAGAACCCTAGGAATCCATGCTGTGACCACTCTAGTTTTAGGCGTCCACTTACCTGTGGACAGATTACTAAATCATCTAGCCTCTCAGAGACAGCCACCATAGGAACAGCCCCAGCAGGCGTGGCCTCCCCAGAGTACCAGGTTATTCCTAGGAGCTGCTCAACAATTACATAAGGCTCCTGAATTCAGCAAGAATGAAAAGTGTTATTGTTAATTGCTCAAATGTGATGAAAATATTATATCCATTAAAAGCCAATATCAAATTATTGATCAAAATATTATATTATTCAAAAGTAAAAATACTAAAATGTAGAAAGAGGGGGCATTCTTATTAAACAGCAAAGGATATTACATAAACATGCAGGGGCTATAAATCGCAGGGCTACACACTCTTCTTAAATGCCCTCCAATGAATGATACAGCCGCTGTGGAAGGGACTTTGGCTGTTTCTTGCAAAACTAAATATACTCTTACCATATGATCCAGCAATTGCACTTCTTGGTATTGACTCAAAGGAATTGAAAACTTATGTCCATGCAAAAACCTGCACATGGATATTTATAGCAGCTTTATTCATAATTGCCAGAACTTGGAAATAACCAAGATATCCTTCAGTAGGTGAACAGACAAACTGTGATACACCCAGACAATGGAATGTTATTCAGCACTAGAAAGAAGTGATCTATTAAGCCATAAAAGACATGGAGGAAATGTAAATGTATATTACTAAGTGAGAGAAGTTAGTTTGAAAAGCCTACATACTGGATGATTCCAAACAAATGACATTCTGTAAAAGACAAAACTAGAGAGACAATAAAGAGATCAGTGGCTGCAAAGGGTTAGTGTGGAGGGAGGAATGACCAGACGGAGCACAGAGCATTTTTTAAGGCAATGAAATTTTTCTGTATGATACTATAACGGTGGATACATATCCTTATGCATTTGTCCAAATCCATAGAACGTTCAGCTCCAAGAGTGAATCCTAATGTGAACTATGGACTTTGGGAGATTATGATGTGTCACTGTAGCTTCATCAATTATAACAAATGCACCACTCTGGTTGGGGACATTGATAGTAGGGGAGGCTGTGTGTGTGTGTGGCCAGGGTGTACATGGGAACTTTCTATATTTCCTGCTTAATTTTGCTGTGAAGCCACAACTGCTCTAAAATATAAAGTCTATTTTTTTAAAAAATGCCTGCCAAGACGCAGTGCCTCCTTTAAAAACAAAAGAGAGAAAACGGGGAAATTATAGTCTTTAAGAACTCTTCATCAAGAGACACCACAAAGCAAAACACACATTACAGACTGGATTGACTAGGGATTTAGAGATTACATTAGCAGAGCTACAGATTCTTGGCAGCATCAGTTTAACCAGCTCCATAGCTAGTCAAGAAACACCTTTTCTGCTGCAAAGTGCATAACAACAAAACTAAAGAGAACCCAAAATGCGCTGGTAGTTTCATTTGGAAAGCAGTTTTAGGAGTAGGGTAGACCTCGGGGATGGACCCAAGGTCTTCAATACTCTCCATGCCCACATCGCTGACCCGTGCGATGGCATAATCTGAGTTGTTGGACGCCTGCATGCCCTCGTTTCCACTGATTCCCACACCCACGTGGGCCATCCGGATCATCCCAACATCGTTGGCACCGTCCCCAATGGCAAGAGTGATGGCCCTTACATGCTTCTTAACCAAGTCCACTATTTCAGCCTTCTGAAGAGATAACCTGAAAAAGAAGACAGAAACAACCACTTTGTAGCATTTTGGTTTGGTTCATTTTATTCAGCCTGTTCTAAAAGCTTTTATGAAGGAGTCAACAATAATCTACACATAGCCACATTTAAATGGTAGTTACTGGTAAATTTCCCCACTCATTAATTAAACTTTGTACATATATAAACAAGTTCTTACCCACCCCCACCAAAAAAGAAAAAGAAGCAAAAAAAAAAAAAAAAACCATACAGCAGCTTCTTTAACATCCCCAAAGAAATACATAATATCAGTTGCCCAGTTTACACGGAGATAAATTCTTCAGTTTGCCATTTTCCCCGCCCCTCCCTGTTGCCTGACACTGGCCTGCTCTAGTATTTTACATTATCTACCTACATGAGAGCAAGAAGTGAAAGTCCACTATTTCTAAAACTATATGAAGGCATTTGCCCAAAATATAGAATGTAAAGCAGCCTTTGCAAATGAAACTACTCTCAAGGGAACTCGAAAAATACCAGGAGATATAAAAACATGAAGGTATCAGTCAGGAGAATCGAGGTAATGCTGTAGTTACTACAACAAACAAAAGCTAAGTGACATAACAAATATTCGCTTCTTTCTCATGCTTTGTGCCCAATGTAGATTAGGATACATCGTTGATCCTTTTTTTTCTGAGACAAGCTACAAAAGTTAATTTAATATTCCTAAAAAATGTCAGGCTAGTATACCCTGTCTGCCCATAAAATATTTACAAATATTCTAAGAAAGGAGAAGCAAAACTTTGATCTCTTATTCATCACACATTTATTCATTGACTCAATAAGTTGGACACACACCTCTCCCAAAAGTGGTAGGGGACACACAAAGGTTTTATTTTCTAGTAAGTAAACGACCTCACTTATTATCCCCTTCCCACAAAACAGCTTCTAAAAATGAATTTGAATTTAACTTTTTCAAATTTCAGGTGAGATTACGAAAACCTGAGGAGATAGAATGGCGAATTCAAAGTACTGAAAGGAAAAAAAGTCAACCATAAAAAGTATTTCATCCAATAATAGATTTAAATTAGAAATTAGAGAAAAGAATATAGGAAATAGCCAAATGTGTGGGAATTAAACAACACACTTTTTTTGTTCTTGTTGAGGAAGAATGGCCCTGACCTAACATCTGTGCCCATCTTCCTCCATTTTATGTGTGGGATGCCTGCCACAGCATGGCTTCACAAGCGGTGCATAGGTCTGCGCCTGGGAGCTGAACCAGTGAACCCTGGGCCACTGAAGCTGAATTTGCAAACTTAGCCGCTGCACCACTGGGCCGGCCCTTGAACAACACACTTTTAAATAGCCCATAAGTGAAAAAGGAAGTCACAAGGGAAATGGGAAAATACTATACCTTGAACTGAATCACAATGAAAACACAACGTATCAAAATTTGTAAGATGTAGTTAAATCAGTGCTTACAGATTTATAGCTTGAAATGCTTACAGTAGAAAAGAAGAAAGGCTTAAAATCAATGATAGAAGCCTACACCTTAAGGAGCCAGAAAAAGAAGAATAAATTAAATTAAAAGTAAGTTGAAAGAAAGAATACAGATAAGAATATATTATATTATATATCAGAATATAATATTATTATGTATTATGATTATATATTATATACATATATAATACATTAATATATTATATATGATACATATTATATATCAGAATGTAAATAGAAACTAGACAAACCACAGACTTGGCCCTTTGAAAAGATCAGCAAAATTGAACAAGGGAAAAAAAGAGAGAGTAAATAGAAATTGTCCACATGAGGAAGGAAAGAAGGAGCACCAGCACACATCACACAGAAATAAAAAATAAATAAAGGACTGCTCTGAAAAGCTTTACGCCAACCAATCTGACAACTAGATAAAACAGAGAAATTCCTTGAAAGACACAAATTACCAAAACTAACTGAAAGAGATGCCGAAAATATTTAGTAAAGAAACTGAATGGGGTCGGCTCCGTGGCTGAGTGGTTAAGTTCTCGCGCTCCACTGTGGTGGCCCAGGGTTCGGATCCTGGGCGCGGACATGGCACCGCTCATCAGGCCACATTGAGGCGGCGTCCCACATCCCACAACTAGAAGGACCTGCAACTAGGATATACAACTATGTGTGTGTGTGGTGGGGGTGGTTTGGGAAGATAAAGCAGGAAAAAAAAAAAGAAGATTGGCAACAGTTGTTAGCTCAGGTGCCAATCTTTAAAAAAAAAAAAATGAATTAGTTATCAAAACCTTCTCACAAGGAAAGGTCCAGGCCCGGTCAACAGTCAAGTGTGTCAAACATTTTAGGAAGAAATCATACTAATACTGCAGAAAGTATCTTAGAAAACAGGACGAAGAAACACTTCCCAACTCAGTTTATCAGGCCGGAATTATCCTGATACCACAGCCAGGCAAAGACTTTAAAAGAAAGAAAACCACAGACAAATGTCTTTCAAGAAAATAGACTAAAAATTCTTTGTGAAATTTCAGTACAATGTATGGAAAAATAATAAAATCAAGTCATAAAGTTTTAAAGGCGTGAAGAACACTCGAGGCATAGTCTGGTCTCCTACCCCACAACTCCCCTTTTCAGTTATGGTTTCAGTTAGTTCCGTGCTCAACTGTTTTCACCAGTTCAGAGTATAGCTCAGCTAATAGGCTTCAGCTTTGCATTCATTTATGTTTACTGTTCATCTAATGGGGACACTTAAAGGGATGAAGTGAGTAAGTGGAGAAGTGAAGGCCTTGGATCACATATACCTAGATAATTGAGTTTTGGTGCTATAGTTGTGTCGGTTGATGAGTGACCTCAGCAGAAGCTAGAAAAGGAGGAGAGTGAGGTCAGGTGGGTCACTCCCCTGCTCCTCCCTGCAATGCCTTCTCTCGCTAGTTGCGTCTGTCCACCACAGCTCACTGTTCCTCAGAGGCAGGCTGTTCTGCAGCGCTCTCTCCTTTCAGGTTCCAGTGACCATTCGCTCCCCGATCCCTTTGGACCTAGGGGTGTGACAGCTCTTCCACCTACCAGCATGTAAATAATCTCTTTGTTTGGTGTTTCATCTTAGGCTCCTGAAAGAAAGTGTCTACTTTCAGAGCCCATGAGACATGATGACCCATTTGCTGAGGTTTTTGGGAGAGAGCATATGCAAATTTTCCTCTGGACACAGTCATATGAGAATGTGAGACTTGGGGCTGCCAAGCCCCAACCTGCTGCCAGAAGGGGATCCAGCCTGGGGATAAAGCCTGCACCAGATGAATCAAAAGGGTGATCCCCCTTGAGTCCCATGTCAATCCGTGATTGAAGCTAGATTTTGGACAAAACACCAATAGTTCACTGTAAGCCAACTGCTGGAATATCCACCCTTAGTGGCAAAATTAGTCCCTATATTTTCTTCTTCTCTCTGCTTCTTCAGTATATCCTTTCATTGCTTCCTCCAGTTTCCACCAGCATGACTAGGGAGTTTGAGCAGAGAAAAAGTGAGAATTCCTTACAATATTGTTATGATGCAAAATGAAAACCAGTTATTTAAATCTGAATGGTTCAAAGAAACAAGTAGTTTTGGTGAATTGATTATTGATGAATTTGTTTGCTTCCCTTGAAGTCAACTCCACTTGCAGAGTTTTCAGTTGTGTGACCTAATAAATTCTCTTTTTGCCTAAGTTGGATTTTAATTCAGCTTTCCATCATTTCTACCAGTTCTAACTGATAGAATGTGAACACAGAAGGACATCTAAGCGAGACATTTAAAGCATATAATGGACCTCATTGATTGAGGAGCATGTTCATAATATTTCGAAGTCCAATGTATCAATATGTTTGTGAAATGACTAAGAGAAACCTCGGCTAAATGGAAGTCAGGAAGGCCTGTAGAGTGAGCTCTCATGCCCTGTCATACATCATCAATTACTCCAAACAGGAAGAGACATATGCTTGCATCTCTGACAGGAGATACGACTACTTTACTACCGAAAGATTTCTCTCCCCACCTGGCAACAGCCCAGCCAATGAGAAAAGCCACAGCTCAGTCAATGAGAAGCTGTTACTACCCTAAACTGATACTTTCCCCCAATGGTCTTTGCTTTAGAACAGCCCCTCTCTACTCCTGCTTCTTTTCTCTATAAAAGCAAGTTTCCCTCCTTTGTTCTCTAGGTTTGCCTATGGTTTGCCATAGCATGCACGTCCTGAATTGCAATTCTTTTGGTTCAAATGCTGAACTCCTAATGACTATTTCTAAGTTAACTAGCGCAAATAAACAACTAGGAGGGAAAATTTAAATAGCAATTACCCTGGACTTGTGATAATAGGCAAAATGACTCCAAAAACAGCTCTAAACTGATACTTACAGCATGCAAATAAAGATATTTAGGATAGATAGACAGATAGACAGGCCTTACACTTACCAATGATGATAATGATACATACATGAATGATTCATACTTGTTATTAATATATAATCATAATTAAATAAAATATACTAATTTATGATTCCTAAAAAAAACTTTAGTAAAAAGCTTTGGCCATCTGAACAAATAACTTTAATTTAGTCCATCTTCCAGGAATACAATTTGGATCCAACAATTCTTTTGAGTTTTATATTATTGTACTTGAGCCATAGTTAAAGTTTTAAAATAAAAGCTATGAGATCTCTGTATATGTCTGTCTGTGTGTCTATGGATGTATGTTATAGAGATGTGATATTTCTCTACCTCTGGATGGTATTGCTAAAATTGGTTTGTAAAGAGCTCTGTTTAATTGGCTTGAAATTAAGTGCTTATAAATTAAATATTTTTAATCTCAGAAATATAATGCAAAATAACTCCAATGCTTTTCAAATTTATGTGATCTAGGATTAACCTTTAGTAAATAAAAGCTAGTTTAAGGTTTTTGGTTTAATTGAAACAGGCATGTCTTCAGAGTTATCAATGCTGAATATAATACAGACACATAATTTTCATTCTACCTGAGTTTATTAAAATCATGTTATCTCTGTTATAAAATCTGTCAGTAAGAAAGGAACCTAAGATGATGGTTAGCTATTTAATGTCAAACCCAAGTACTTGTATTTACCCATGGCCTTTTAAGTCTTTTGTCAGTTAGGGACAATTAGTGTTCTACTCTGATGCTTTTATAAATATGTTTCATTTTCAAAGAGATTCATAGAAAATACTTTAACAAGTACTTTGGGACACAGGTTTTTGATAATTTTAAGGTTATAGCACTGAATTGGGTGGGAGTTTCTGGAACTCGAGTGGAGGACTGATTGCTTTGTTGTTTTGTTTTCCAGATGTAAAAGATCCCTTTTTCTCCTCTATTTTAAGCTATCTAAAACTTACAGCAATATGGTAAAGTGTATCTCTGAAACATTTATCTTTTTCTTTCTACATGATCCCTCCAGAATTTGGAAACTCTTAAGTATTGTTTTCATGACAATATATGTGTTGGCATGGGCTCAGTGAAGGCATGCTCTGCTTGTAACAAGACAAACTAGAAATATCGGCTGCTGCAGGGGAGGAAGACAATTCCTCTACCCTCTAGGTCCTTCTGGCTGGCCTAAGAATTAAATTGACATGAGACACAATAACAGGAGAAAATCAAACAAAGCTTTATGACATGCATACATGAGAGAAACCTAGGAAAGCTGAATAACTTGCCAGAATGGCCAAAACTGCCACCTTAAATACCATCTTTAGCCAAAGACAAAGGAGTATGTTGGGTTTAGCGGTTTGGGTCTTCAAAGGGAGGAAGGTAATTTACATGGAGATTTAAATGTAAATGTTTGTTAAACAAGTGTTTGCTAGGCCATCTATAGACAACAGGACCCCGCCCCCACTGCCCCAAAATAGATCTTTTGATAAAAATAGGCTTAGTAAGGACCCTCCCAGTTTACCAATACTCAGAGTTGTCTATGGTGATGCCCTGTCCTGAGACAGGCCTTCTATCTTAAATTCGTTTAGGCAGTTAGGGAGAAGGTTAAAGTTTCCTTCAGATTTTCTGATGCCCTGAACTACATTACCAAGGCTTTGACTAGAAGGATGTACACAGACTCAGATATGACCAGACAGTTTTAAGAAACTGCTTCAAAAATAGGCCTGGTACCTTGCTTACAAGTTTCCAGCAAAGCAATCTTAAAAAGAGCTTGTATGGTCAATCACTATTCTTGCTGCATTTATATAAATAATCAGGCTAAGTTTACTACAAACAAATTAGTTTTCTTATGATTATCTTTAATAAAAATGGGGGTAATTGTGGAAAGAAAAATTATGCTTGCATCTTTGTAAATATTATATTCTAGTTTTATTAATTGTCTTTAAAGTTTGTTATATACCTGAAAGCTAGACTAGATCCTAAATTCTTCTATTTTTTTTTAAATATCCAGCTATGATATTCCAAACCAACATTTCTAATTTTACTGCCCTTGAAATCTCCTTGGAAGGGACTATACCAGGACCTCCTCACTACCCTGATGGCAGCCAAACTTCAGGGACTCAAGCCTTTAGTACACATCTCACAGCTAAAGAAGCCTCCACTTGACATCTAGATGTGCAAATGCTAGTGACCTCCAAATCAAATGGATTAGGAAGAGAAGAAGCTGACATCTGAGGCAGACGGCTTTCCCAAGATGACTGGACCAGGCCTATATGCTCTCTTCCCACTGCTGTTTCTTCCTTCATTTTTTCCCTCTCTTTCCTGGAGAATTCTCTTACCTGCATTTCTCAATCCCTTGCAAAAGGGGAAAGCTTTTCTGATTTCTGGAGTTGCCATCATAAACCTCAGTCTTTCCAAGACAGTGATGACCCCATAGTTTACCCTATAAGTAATTTCAATGGGATTCCAGATGCTGTGTTTGTCTAAATTGCTCTGCTGGCCCATTTTAGCAAGTCAGGGTGCTAAGCCCATCTAAACTCATTCCTTGCTTTAATTTAGCCCAGTCTTAGGAGGACAAAAAAAAAAATATTTTGAATATTTGTATGAGAAATTTCATGGGACTGTTACTGTAAGTTGAATCAGTTGTATATTTCTTAACATGTCCATGTATTTAGGTTGCTTCTCAGTATGTAACAACATAGTATCTGAGCTTTGGTGATATTATGCTAACTCCTTTATGCCAATGAATAAGTCTATAGATAATATCACTTATGCAGGAGCTTTATGTCCATCCCCTGGTTCCATCTTCATCTGTGGAGGTTTCAGTAACGGTTTTTATGCTTGGGCAACTCACTGCCTTGACAGTTGGAGAATAAAAGAACAGTGTGCCCTTGCCATATTCACTGTCCTGTTCTCTCTGCATAACCAGAGACTTCTCATTGGTCTCTCCCATTCAACCTCCATAGTCGCTCTAAAAGAGAAATTCCAGGAGGCATACTCGACTCTGGGTTTGCCTCCATAGGAAGAGCTTTCTTCTCATGGATCAGAGTGAGAGCCAATGAATAAATGATCAACAATCTCTCCCTGACTCTAGCAGAGTTGGACAACTCTACAGCCTAAGCAATTTTAGCTCAGCAACAGTCACTTAACTCATTGGCCAAGGTAGTTTTGGATAATTGTATATCACTTCATTTGTTTACTTGCTGAGAAAAGAGGTATCTGCGCAATGGCAAACACCTCCAATGCTTCTGGGGAAGTAGAGACGAGAGAGCAAGCACATTGACTACAACAAATTTCACTTAACGATCCACTGTCTTTTGATTAATTCAGCTGGTTACCTTCAGGTCTGGGCTCTTGGTTTAGAACCACCCTGGAAACTGGGATACTCATATTGCTCTTAATCTTATTCAGTAAACTTGTTGTAAAGTTCTGTACCTATTACCCGTTGAACCTCTTATAAAAATGATACCCAATAAGGTTATGCTGGCTCAGCACTTCAAGATGATCTCCAATGCCTTGGATTTTGGAGAAATATAGATGGAAAATGCCTGAGAGTTCTCCCCACTAACCTTCCTTGCTACTCAAATGTGACCTAAATGGTTTCCAACCACTATGCACCTTCTCTCCAATGTGGAACACAACAGCCAGGAAGGGTCATTCCTGGCACTGAGGGACAAACCAGTACATGCAGAGAACCTGACTGCTGACCAGCGATGCTTTCAGAGAAAGATCTTGATCAAGAGGGGAAAATGTAAAATGAATAAAAGAAACCTCACCTAAATTGGAATCAAGAAAGCCTGGAGGGGAAGCTCTGACATCCTATCACACATCATCAGTTACTCCAAACAGGGAGAGACATATGCTTGCACCTCTGACAGGAAGTACAACCTCTTCACTGCTAAAGGGTTTTCTCCCTACTTGGCAACAGCCCACGCGTGAGAAAAGCCCCAGCTCCGCCAATGAGAGGCTGCTGGTGCCCTGAACTGTTATTTTCCCCCAACGCACTTTTGTTTAGAACAGCCCCTCCCTGTTCCCTTCTTTTCTCTATAAAAGCAAGCTCCCCTCCTTCGTTCTCTGGATTTGCCTATGGTTCACATCCTGAATTGCGATTCTTTTGGCTATTCATGAATAAACACATTTTGAGGGTAAAATAGCAGGCAAATTTGCTTTTTAAATTGGCATGTTTTAATAATTGGTCCATTAATATTTTTACTGAGGATGAAGGAACAACTGTCCTGTACGTAGTTTCATTATTTTCTCAGTTCCAGCCATCTTTGTTGTAGAAGATTTGCCTTTTTAAAACCAACGTTTTGACTTGCCCTAATACTCATAACTTCATTTTCCTCTAGGTGTCAGTGGGTTTTTTCTGACTTGCTCCTCACTGTAAATAAACTGAGGACCTTTGTTCCCACTGAAGACTTCCATCCTCGGTCATTACATCGATAAAAAATTTAGCATTACAAAGTTATAAACTACCTTCCAGTACATCTTAAACCTGACAATTAAAATTAAATTAATAACTGTCATTTCAGTTTGAGCATATATTTTCCCTCTAAAGACTTTGCCTTTGCAAAAACTTATATTTCCATGCCTATACTTTCTTTACATAAACAGTATTAAATATATCAGGGTAAAAAAAAGAACAGCGAATATATTCTTACCTACAGCACAGTACTGCTCTACATGAGAAGGCCAAACTGAGGAAGCACCTCTTAACTTCAAAACGGAGGGCATATCTCAATGTCTCACCATCAATGATTAGCGCCAGGTCATTTTCTTTACCTAACAAGGCTCCAGGATCTTGACAGTTCTGATTAATCATTTCCTGTGTTGCCTAAAACAGAGAGGGGGCAGGGATCACTTAACTTTTCTCATGTTAAATATAAATGAAAAGACCTTCTGAGTCAAGCTGGTAGACTGAGACATATCTTGACCTCATTTTTCCCTTCAAAAATTTCACTGAAATGAAATTAAAAAGTAAACAAATAGTATGAAAGATGCTTGACATCATTAGTCATCAGGGAAATGCCAATCAAAACCACAATGAGATACCACTTCACATCTACTAGCACGACTAGAATCAAAAAGTCAGATTATAACAAGTCTTGGTGAGGATCTAGAGAAACCCAAAACTCTCATACACTGCTGGTGGCAATGTAAAATGGTGCAGCCAATTCGGAAAACAGTCTGGCTTTTCCTCAAACAATTAAACATAGAGCTACCAGATGACTCAGCAATTCCACTCATAGGTATATATACCCAAGAGAAATGAAAACATATGTCTACACAAAAACTTGTACATGAATGTTTATAACAGCGTTATTCACAATTGCCTAAAACTGGAAACAATCGATAAATGGATAAACCAAATATGGTATATCCATACAATAGAATATTCTTTAGCTATAAAAAAGATACGAAGTGTTAAAGCATGCTACAACATGGATGAACCTTGAAAACGTTATGGTAAGTGAATGAAGCCAGTCACAAAAGCCTGTATGTTATATGATTCGATTCATATGGAAGTCAAGAATAAGCAATTTCATAGGCACAGAAAGTAGATTGGTGGTGGTTTAGGTGAGGGGAAGAATGGTGGGAGAGATGATAACTAAAGGGTATGGAGTTTCCTTTAGAGGTGATGAAAATATTTTAAAGTTGACTGTGGTGACAGTTGCATGTATCTGTGAAGATATTAAAATACACTGAATTGTACACTAAATGGATGACTGTTTTGCTATGTGAATTATAGCTCAATAAAGCTGGGTTTTTTTTAAGGTATATAAATAATAGTGACTTCAAATCAGTGGTAAAATAGGGAAGGGTGCTAACAGCAGACCTGGAAGTTCAGAGAATTTTTGGAAAAAATGTAAAAGATGAAAAGAGAATAATGGAGTGAACTTCTACCAAAATGAGTCATCAGGTTTCTAAGAGAGAAGTATGCTGCAGAGATGCATTACTGAATTGAAGGTGTGGGAGCCATCGTAAGCTTATTTTTAAGCTTAGCTCATTTAGCCTCTCGTAGCTCATTTTTCTCACCCCATCCTTTCTTTCCTTCAAAATTCACATAAACTGTTGAAAGCTCAAAATTTTAGAGAAACAACTCCCCATGCCAGTGGCAAAGTGGAAAATTCAGGTAGTGGAGTATTTCAAGTAAGATATGTAATAAAAGTTTAAGTCATATAGATTAATGCTAAAGAAATTTGATGAAAAAACAAGTGACATTTTAAAAAACCAAAAATATCAATTACCATCATCTGTTGAAAGATTAGTGGACTAATAAGTGTACCAAAATATTTCTTGATTGTTGCATCTCTGTTTTATTTCTATGACTATCTAAAGTGAATGCCGTAAAGTACTAAATCATATTTAAAAGCTTATTTAATTATTTTACTTAACTATAATTTTCAGTTATGTTCAATTACCTATAAAAAGTAGAGAAAGATTTTTTATGATCTCTAATTTCCCTAAACATATTAATAAATGAAATTTTAACAAAATGTGTCACTTGGGGAAAAACCTTAAAGCACAATAGGTATCAAGCACCAAAACCTTTAATGAAATAATCCTCACCCCTATTTTTCTCGAAAGGTCTTCATGACTCATTACTCAAATGCAATGACTATGTTTCCTGAAAGAAAAGGTAATTTAATAGTCTTTGAATTACTGAGACCTTTATATAAACCCTAAAGTTCTAATAAGAGATGGAATTCAAAAACTTGAAACTCGATTTCACACTGTGTAGGAATTATTCTGTGTAATATAATATGTGTATCATACTAAACATTTCCACTTCTACATTTTCCGTATAGTTGGCTGAATATTCCATCAACACGCAAATGACTGTAATTGCTCTGTTCTCCCAAAAATAATCAGACAAAATTGAAGTTCTCCTCTACTTCAACAAGTCACCTCACATTTCATTTGATTTCTGAACCCCAGACTTGGTGCTTTTCTAATTAACATATTTTTTCAATTTTATAATTGCTTAGAAAAACTAAATGCTTGCAGCTAAAGCTATTACACTTTTAATGTCTAATTTTTTCTCCAACTTCTAAATTTTTTTCATTTCTCTTTACCATGGTTTCTGCTGCCAATGCGAACAGAAGTTAAGATAATTCCTTTGATACGGTTCATACTAGACTCTGACTACCTGAGTGACTTGCTAAAATTAATTATGTAAAATCACTTTGGTAACCTGCAACACATTATATGGGAAACTTGCATTACTGCTTAAATTATGCAAAACAAGTATATCAGTAATTAAATAATGATTATTTAGGAATAATTAGTTTTCAAAATGACGTAACTTTAAAGTTTACAGGAACTTAAGATGCAAGAGAAAAGCCAAGAGAGACAAAGTATCCGGATCACCATGTAAACCACAACATTTAAGTGAAATAGAGCCTCCCAAAGTCGGCTGCACTGACAAGACTAGCTTCTGGAAAATTCTAATTCATGCAACTAATTCTAATTACTTATGCAACTGAGACCAAAATATTAACAAACTTTGGAAACATAAATTTGAAAATGTGTTAGTTGCCTTTGGTGTATATAATTTGGAGAAATAAAAATTATAATTCAAACTTCATCTAATATTTAACAATAGAAATTCTTGATAAAACATATAAGAAGACTCTGGGGCCGGCCTGGTGGTGCAGTGGTTAAGTTTGTGCTCCCCTTCGGCAACCTGGGGTTCGCCTGTTCAGATCCTGGGCATGGACCTACACACCACTCACCAAGCCACACTGTGGCAGGTATCCTACATATAAAAAATAGAGGAAGCTGGGCACAGATGTTAGCTCAGAGCCAATTTTCCTCAGCAAAAAGAGGAGGATTGGCGGCAGATGTTGGCTCAGGGCTAATCTTCCTCAAAAAAACCCCACAAACGTATGAGAAGATTCTGTTCAATATTATACTCTTAGGAGCCTTATTAATAATACAAAGGCTACATGCAACTCCCCAAATATATAAAAACTAAACTGAGAAATAAAGAAAAATGATAGAAAAGGTACTGCCACAATTATATGCTATGAAGAGTTAAGACTTGAATTAATTACTCCTTAAACATAATGAGTTTTTTTCTTGCAAATATCTTATCCTGAATACTTTATTGAGATATAACGGACAGATGAAAAAATGCACAAATCTCAAATGTACAGCTCAAAGAATGTGTAAAGATATATACACTTATGTAACCATCACCCAGATCAATGCAGAATATTTAAAGGACTTTAGAAGGATCCCTCATGCCCATTTGCAGTGAGTCAAACTGCATGCCTCCAGAGGCAATCACTCTTCTGATTTTTGTCTCTATTGATTCATTTTGCCTGTTCTTGAACTCACATAAATTGAATAATCAGAGTAAACTCTTGTGTTTGGCTTTCTTCACTCAAAATAACATTTGAGAGATTCATCTATGCTGTTGTATTTATCAATAATAGTTCCTTTTAATTGCTGTGTAGTATTCCATTGTATGAATGCACCAGTTGTTTTTCCTGTTGATAGACATTTGAGTTGTTTACAGTTTGGGGAAATTATGAATAAAACTACTATGAACATTCTTGTACAAATCTTTTGATACACACATGCATTACTTTTTCCTAGATATATACCTAGTAGTGGAATTGCTGAACCATAGGGCAGGCTTACGTTTTGCTTTGGTAGAAACTACCAAAATGTTTTCCAAAGTAGCTGCACCATTTTATATTCTCACAAGCAATGTATTAGAATTCCAGTCACTCTATATCCTTGCCAACACTTGATAATATGGGTCTTTCTAATAGATGCTATTCTGATGAGTATGTCATGGTGTGTCTCAATTTCATTTTCACTTGCAATTCCCTAATGAGTAATGATGCTCACCATCTTTTCTTATATTTATTGGGTATTCAAATATCTTCTTTTGTGAACAGCACCCATTCCAGATTCTCAATCAAAAGCTGATGATGTTTGATAACTGGGACACCTAACCAAATCTTATTTCTGATGAGGTTAAAGAAGCAACTACATCCAATTTCCAGAAGTGACAATAATTCAAGAGAGAGCATTCAGTACCCAGCCTTTGTTAGACTGTTGGTGCTGATTGAAGGGTCTGTACAAAGTGACCGTGTCTTCATTAGACCAGTTCCACAGTGTGCTTTTGCAAAGTGCTCCTGACACATGGTTTCCAAACCTGTTTCTCTTAGTCTCCCGGAATTATGTGAGCTGTCTAAGGTTCCCTAACAAATGATTAGTCTCCTTCAATTAGCCAGAATTATTTTCATTGCTTCCAGGTAAGAACCAAGACTGCTATAGATGTAATAAAAGTTTTCACTGATAGGAAAACTTAGTCATAACAAAAAGTGATTATTTGCTGCCTAAAAATCAAGAAGCTAAGAAAAAACACTTAGATTAAAAATATAAATTTAGCAATAGAAAATTACATAAAAATCAGAAAACAACATAAAAATAATATTAAAATATAACATGAAAATCCACAGTTGTAACCTTGAAAAATCAATAAAAGAAATGTTTATTTTCACTTCTCTTTACCTCAAGAAAATTCTATTCATCACAACAATATTCAAAAGTATCTTACTACGAGAAAAAACTGAAATAAAGAAACGATGAAAAGGAGGGATTTAATACATATATGGAGAAGAATTATTTCAAATTTTAAGTAATTATGTATACTTTTATACCAACGAATAGGAAAGCTTAGATAAAATTATCAAAATTGATTAAGAGAGAGTTCTTAATCCTGGTACAGGCTCTGAATAAAGGTGGGCAGGTTTTATAGGGAAGTCAAAATGTGAAACAAGTAACCAGCAATGAATGAGATCTGTCTGCTCTTTCAGGTTTGCCTTTAGGATGGCTGTAGTTATAGCAATGGTAGTAACATGGAGGTAGCTAAACCTCCAAATAGAAAGTCTGCCATCTTTCGGGCCAAAAGAACCAGTGGAAAGATCCCAGGCAACCAGGGATACCAGGAAGTGAAGGGAGAACCTTGGAAAGGAAAAAGACAGGAAAGTGGAACCACAAATGCTATGTTGAAACTTAGCTAAAACCTTTGGTTGAACCCTGAAACAATCCTCTGTAGAATAAACTGTCAGTGTACTGCATCTAAGACTTAAAGAACTGTACTGGGCAATGTAACTGAATCCAGAGTCACCACAATAAACATTCACAATGTCCAGGGTTTAATCCTAAATTACTCAACATAAGAAGAACCAGGAAAAGATGAGATCCAGTATCGAAAGACAATAAACAGATACTAATCACAGATGATCCAGATGCCAGAATTATCAAACAAAGTTCTTAAAGAAGCTATTATAATTATATGCATAGAGAATAAAAAGATTCAAAATCTCAGCAGAGAAACAGAAAAGGACATTTTAGGACTGAAAACTACAGTAACAAATAAAAAAGTCAATAGAGAGCTTACTAAAGAATAGAAATGACAGGAGAGTCAGTGAACTTGAGATAGACCAATGAAAATCATCCAATGTGAGCATGAAAGAGATAAAAAAAGGAAAAAATAGAGACACAAAGATCTATGGGAAAACCATCAAGTTCAAACATATAGATAATTCAAGTTCCAGAAAAATTATTTGAAATAATGACCGAAAATTTAGTGACAGGAATAAATTTACAAATTTAATAAGCTTGGCAAAGCCTGAACAGAATAAAATTTTTTTAAAAAAATGCATGTTCATATCAAAATCAAACTGCTAAAAATCAGTGAGAAAGAGAAAAATCTTGAAGGGAGTCAGAGAAAAAGACATATACAGGAAATAACCATTCGAATGACTGCAGACTTCTCAGAAACTACGGAGGCCAGACAACAGTTGAACAACAAATTTAAACAGCTGACAGGAAAAGAATTCAAATAGGAATTCCATACTCAGTGAAAATACTCTTCAAGTGAAGGTAAATAAAGACATTTGTAGATGAAGAAAAACCAAAGCAATACACTATCATCAGCTTAAATCTACAAGAAATGCCAGAGACGATTCTTCACCTGAAGGGAGACAATGCTAGAGGGAAACATGTGTCTTCAGGAATAAATGAAGAGTGTCAAGAATAGTAAATCTATGAGCAAAATATAAAAGATTATTTTTATCTTAATTTCTCTGAAACACATATACTTTTTAAAGCAAAAATTATACTATCGGCTTGTGAAGATTATAATGTATTAAGATGAATACATATAAATGAATGTACATGAAAACCACAACATAAAGGTCAATAAGGGATGAGAAATGAACCTATGGGGTTATAAGGTTTCTACATTTTATGCAGTGTTACCATATTAACTCTAATATGAATATGAAAAGTTAAGGGTGTACATTCTAATTGCTAAGCAGTCACTAGAATAATAATGCAAAACATTTGGCTAAATGCATAAAATGGAATTCTAAAAAATATTCAAATAACCCCTCCCCCCTCAAGAAAAAAGGCAAGAAGGGAAGAACAGAGAAACAAACACAGACAGGACAAACAGAAAACAAATAATAACATGTTAGACCTAAATCGAATGATATCAATAATTACATTAACTGTTAATGGATTAACCATTACAAATTAAACAGTAGTTTTCAGAATTGATATCGAAAAAAGCAAGACCAAACTATGTACTTTCATACAAGGGACACATTTTAAACACAAAACAGATGAGATCAAAGTAAATGAATGAGGAAAGATAGACCACGCAAACAGAAGCATACAAAGGCTGGAGTGGCTCTATTAATATCAGACAAAGTAGACGTAAAGACAGAAAGTACTACTGAAAACAAAGAGGGACCTTTCACAGACATTAAAAAGTCAAGTTTTCAGGAAGGCATAACGATTCTAATTGTATGTACCTAACAGCAGAGCCTCAAAATACACGAAGGAAAAATTGGCAGAATTAAAGGGAGAAATACGAAATTCAAAATCTCAGCAAGAGGTTTTAATGCTTCTTTCAGAAACTGATAGAGCAGCTAGGAAAGCAATCAGTAAGGAAAGTTTATTAGGACAGTACTCTCAACCAGCTTGACATCACTGATATTTGTACACAGTATGTTCACCAAGGCAGACCACAGACTGGATCACAAACAAGCCTTAACGAATTTAAAAAGATTAAAACCAACTAGAGTATACATCCTTTGTCCAGAATAAAATTAAATTAGAAAAAATAACAATAACGCATCTAAAAAAATGCCAAATATATGTAAATTAATCAATACACTTCTAAATAAGTCATAGGTCAAAGAAGAAATTGTGGAAATTGGAAGATATTTTGAAAAGATGATAATGAAAATATAACACAATATTTATGGAATGTAACTAAAGCGATGCTTAGAGAAAAAATTATAGTTTTAGTGCTTAAATTAGAAGAAAGGAAATGTTGAAAAATAATGGCCCAAGCTTCCACCTTGTGGTAGGCAGGGTTTTAAGGTTCCCACCCACCAATGTGCAAGCCCCATATAATCCATTCCCTGTGAGTGTGAGTGAGCCTGACCTAATCAGGTGGGCTCTTGTAAAAGAGGTTTTACAGTGAGAGACAAGAAGGCAGAGAAATTTGAAGCTGCAGCAGACGTTCTTTTGCTGGCCTTGAAGAAGCAAACCTCCATGCTGCAGAGGGGGCCGCAAGGCCAGGTCCTGAGAGCGACCTCTAGTCGCTGAGACCAGTCCCTGGCTGACAGCCAACAAGCAAATGGGACCTCGGTCAGACAGCCACAAGGAAGCAAATTCTGCCAACCACCTGAGGAAGCTTAAAAGTGGGTCCTTCCCAGGATGAGCTTCCAGATGAGGATGCAGCTAGCCAACATCTTGATTGTCCCTGTAAGACACTGAGCAGAGGACTCAGCTAAAACATGCCAAACTCCTACTCCACGGAAACTGTAAGATAAAAAATTTACATTGCTTTAAGCTGCAAAATTTGTGGTAGTCTGTTATGCAACAATAGAAAACTAATACACTGTTTTAAAATACAGTGTATTAATAGAAAATTTGAGATATAGTAAGGCCAACACCTTAGGAGACAAGCGCTATTGAAAAGACAGTTTGTTATACTCACAGATCTCAAGATCAGAGAGCAAACCACTCCATGAGGGGCCATGTGGGGAAGCACTGGGTCCCGTCAGAAGGCAGAGGAAGCAGGAGGAAACCGTGGGCAAGAACCTTTGTTGTGGTTTTCTCAGAAAGGAACAGGTGAGAGAGGGCGAGCAGGTGTAGGATTTGGCTAGTTTGAATAATTTCAGTGGGCCCTAGGGCATAGGGCTGACCCTAGTCGTCTGGTGCCTGGCCCGGGGGTGATGAGGGCAGGTGGAGAGTGGCCCAGAGTGTGAGATCCATAAAGGAGGTGGTAGGGCTGTGAGCTCTGGATTGGTTGGTTTGCATAAGAAAGGCTCACTCACTGGGTGATTGTTTGATAGCTCCAGGAATTAGCCAACCCTGGGAGGGCAGGACCCCCAGGGTCAGCAAAGCCCCGGATAGCAAAGCATCAGAATAAAGAAAACAAAAGACATGGTTAATACATAGACTTCAAAAGCTAGAACAAGAAGAGCAAAGTAAACACAAACCTGGTAGAAGGAAATAAATAATAAAGATAGGAGTAACAATCAATGACATTGAAGATATGTCTACAAAAACTTCCCAAACTGAAATACAAAGAGAAAAAAATGGAAAAAAACCAGAACAGCATATTCAAGAACTGTGGGACAATTTAAAATGTCTAACATATGACTGATTGGAATATCAGGAGGAGAAGAAAAAGAGAACAGAGAAGAAGGAAAAGTTCAAGTACTAATGACTGAGAATCTTCCAAAATTAATGGCAGTCACAAAACCATAGATCCAGGAAGCTCAGAAAACACAAAGCAGGATCAATGCCAAAAAAGCTATACCTATGCAAATCATATTCAAATGGCACAAAACTAAACACAAAGAGGAAATCTTGAAAGAAGCCTGAGGGGAAAAAACACCTTACCTGTAGAGGAATAAAGATAAGACGTGGCCAACTTCTCATCAGAACCCACACAGTCAAGAACAGAGTGAAGTAAAAGACTCAGTGTTGAAAGAACAAGAAACACCAACCTAGAATTCTACACCCAGTGAAATTATCCTTCAAATATGAAAGACACAAAGGCTTTGTCAGACAAACAAAAACGGAGGGAATTCACCACCAGCAGACCTGCCCTGTAAGAAATATTTTTTTTTAAGTTTTTCATGGAGAAGAAGAATAATATATATCAGAAACTGAGATCTACATTTAAGAAAGGGGAAAAGCATCAGGAAAAAATAAAATCTATTTAAAATTCTTTAAAAATGAGTCTCAGGAAAATCATACAGTAAAAAGTAACACGAGAGTTCTCTAACAAAAGGCTATTACTCTTCTGGAAAAAAGCGAGAGCTAAGACAACCTCTAAGAAAACAAACTGTGTCAGCATCATCTTCAGTTTACACCAGGCGAAGTTCACTGTCTTTCAGCTGCTCTTCCCCTCCGTGAGAGCCTCCAACGGGAGACAGTAGTATTCCACCTACGACCACGACTCAAACGGGAGCTGGGGGCTGCAGGTCTGGAGCCAACAGACTTGTTTTGCTTTGCCCTTACAATATTTTATACATTTAACCCAACATTTATAAATCAGAATATTTCATATCGAAAGACAGAATTCCCAATTATCTTTTAAAAACTAAAACCCTGTGCCAACAGTGGACACAGTTCCACAAGGCAGGGATGCGCTGGCTGCCCCTTCAAGGGGCCAGTACTCCCCCCCGTGGACCTCCTCCCCGACGTGTGTGCATTAACCCTTTCCTGCCCCTCAGGTGTGTGCATTCCTTCACTCTTGTCCTGCCTGATTCCTCCAGATATTTGCAAGTCCTGCTCTAAGAAATTGAGGAGTTTTTTCCTTTCTTCTTTCAGGCACACTACGGCTACCACACAATTTTTTAATTGGGTGCAATTCAACATAGTAGTTATCTAAAAATCCGGTTATTCTGAGCAGAGTCCTTTAAGTCAATTGTAGACATCTGGTAACAAAAATGCCTTATTCGATAAGAATAAAAATTCCCCTACTAGCAACAACTGCTGTGTCTTACCTAGGTTGAGTTGACGAGACAGTCGAAGGCTCAGATAAAACAAATAGTCCTCAGGCAGTGGGTCTGGCAAGGATGATTGGGTGTAATTTAGGAAGTTGGTGAGAGCAATCAGTGTCTTTTTTTTTTTTTGAGATAGAATTGACGTATAACATTGTGTAAGTCTAAGGGGTACAACATACTGATTTGATAAACTTGTATTGCAATACAGTTGCCATTGCAGACTTAGCTAACGCCTCTGCCACATCACACAATTCCCATTTCTTCTAGTGGGGGGAACAATTAGGATCTATTCTCTTAGCAAGTATGATGTTTATAATACAGTTTTGTTGTCTATGCAATCATCGTCTTTTATGGTGCTGTGTCAGCCTAGCCTCTTCACAGGGTATATACTCAGTTACTGCGGTCATTGGGTTCGTGGTTATCAAGAAACATGGCAAGTGACCTTAAAGCAGAAATATAGGAGAGCTGGAAAAGAGAAAGCAAATGCATGGTGTGTTCTCAAATATTGGTCAGATAGATAAATGAGTGACCACATCATGCTCTCCTTACGTGAGTCCTTAATAATTATGCTAATATCTAACTTTCATGGAGGCTCTTGCTAAGTGCTGGGCACCAAGCTAAGCTCTCGTCGGGTATTATCTCAAGGCATCATCCCAGCCATCTTATGAGGTGAAAACTATTATCATACTCATTTTACAGATGAGAAAACTGATGCTTACAGGTCAAGTAGCTCCTTCAAAAATAATCAACCCTTCATCAACTTCATCCATCGGCTACCCCCTATTTCTCTGCTCTCCTTCACGGCAAAATTCTTTGAAAGTGTGGTCTACACCTGCTGCACCCACATCAACGAGGGCTGACAGATCAACCCATCAAATGTATGCCAATTTCAGCCCCTCTCTCACATGCCCCATTACACCCTAGCACAAGTCACCGTCGTCTCTGATCTAGACTTCTACAAAGGCTTCCTAACTGATCTCTTGGCCTCCATTTAGTCTAGTTCCCACACAAGAGCCAACAGACATTTTAAAACATAAATTAGATCATATCACTCTTTTGCTCAAAACCCTACACATTTCTTGTCTTTTCTTTCTTTTTAAAGATTGGCACCTGCACTAACGACTGCTGCCAATCTATTCCCTTTTTTCTTTCTGCTTTCCCTCCCCAAATCCCCCCAGTACACAGCTGCACATTTTAGTTGTGGGTCCTTCTAGTTGTGGCACGTGGGATGCCACCCCAATGTGGTCCAAGGAGTGGTGCTATGTCCACGCCCAGGATCCAAACCAGTGAAACCCTGGGCTGCCACAGCGGAGCGCGTGAACTTAACCACTCGACCACAGGGCTGGCCCCATCCCCTACACATTTCTTACTGTAGCCTAACAAGCTCTCATCTCCTATTTTCTCTGCTTTGCTCCCTGTACTCCAACCACGCTGGCCTTTCTATTGGTCCTCAAACATGACAAGCACATGCCCACACCAGAGCCATTGGGCTCACCACACTCTCTGCCTGGAATGCACATCTCAGAGATCTTCCCAACATTGCTCACTCTTTCCTTTTGGGTCACTGCATTAAATGTCACCTCCTTAATAGCTTTTCTATCTAATTACTCCCTCTACCTCTTGCTCTTTCAACTCTAAGATACAAACAAACTGAAGTAAACAAACAAACAAACAAAAACCCAAACAACTATAAAAGCAAGAAGTGACATTGGAGCTCGGTTAGAAAAAGAAAAACCAACTGAATATTCTCACCAATGATCAAACTTTTTATGAATAAACATAGATGATACAAAGCTATGTATACACATCACAGAGAAAAAAATGCCATAACTTCAGGTTTCAAAAAAAAGGAACAAGAAACTACATATTATTCATGTGAGCATTCTGCATTCCATAGTTCAGGAATGTGAAGGAGAAAGAACAGTTTGCTTTGCCATTTTGTTCAAATTCTCTGCCATATGATGGTAAGACTCCATTGCACTCCACTTTTCCAAAGATATATAAAACAATTACTTGAAGGAAGTTCAACCATACATTCTTGATACTAGGACCTATTTAGAAAACACGTACAACCAGATTTTTAAAACTCTCTTTAGATCTATTACCTATGTTAATTGCAGTTTCTTGTTTATCTTCTGTCAGGACCCATATTTTAATGTCTGCTTTCAGTAAGTTGGTTATCGTTTCTGGAACACGTGCTTGAAGGCAATCTTCAATGGCTGTGGCTCCAAGTAGCAGAAATTCCTAGATGTTTTTGAAAGAGATATTTTTTATTACTAATCAAAGATTTTAAAAAATTTTAACAAATGAATGAAGTATATTTTGAAGATATGCAGTCTAATAATTTATTATGTAAAGTCCGATAAATGTGCACACACACACATAATTTTTTCTAGTCTCTTCCATTGGTCTATTTGTTTTCCCTGTTTCACCACATGAGGCAGTGTAGCATGATGGTTAAGAGCATTGGCTCTTAGATTCGTGCCCTAACTCTAAAAGTTACTAGATATGTAATCAAGAGTAAATTACTCAAACTTCTGTGCCTCCTTTTCTATAACTGGAGAAGAGGGGAAAATACAACTATTCATAGAATTATTGTGGGAGTTAACATTTGTAAAGTGATTAGAATAATGTCTAGCATATTATAAATAGTTAATATTACCTCTTATTTTGATCATTATAACCTTAAGATAAGTCTTGATGTCTAGAGAGGTAAGCCCCCTTTCTTTATTATCCTTCAAAAATTATCATGATAATCCTTAGCCTCCTCCTACTTCTGTCTGAATTTTAGAACAAACTTGTCCAGTTCTGCGAAAATCCTGTTGGGAATTTTATGCATTCCTGCATTGCATTAAATTTACAGATTACTTCGAAGAGAACAATTACATTTATTATACTGAGTTTTTCTGTTATTGTATAGACCCATCCATTTATGTAGGTCCTTACTTTAGTCCTTAAGAAAAATTTCATAATTTTCTCCATAAAGTTCTTACCACCAGATGGTTTATTTGATAGTGTTTGTTCTTATTGTGAATTATTTCCCTATCACTGGAGGGTTTTAAATGGAAGCTTGATGGTAGATAAAGAGGTTTATGTAAAACATAAAGCCAGATGATCTCTGATAATCTGGGATATTGTTTCCCAGAAGCCAGCATAATCTAAAGGTTCAAGAGTATTTTACATTGCTATTAGTTGTTAAAGTAGAATTAACATGAGCTGATTCCGTGCTGATAATTAGAATTAACACCATTGAAACACTATCACATGCAAACTGTAAATTAAGGCTTTAAAATAGCCATAAAGTATTTTATTCTTTTTGACAAATTGAATTAGTTTATTTCTATTTTTAATTTTTTTTTTTTTTTTTGGTGAGGAAGAGTGGCCTTGAACTAACATCTGGTGCTCATCTTCCTTTATTTTGTATGTGGGCTGCCACATATAGCATGGCTTCTAGGTGGTGGAAGTCTGTGCCTGGGATTCAAACCTACAGACCCCAGGCCACTGAAATGGACTGCACTGAACTTAACCACTATACTACTGGGCCAGCCCCAAAGTGAATTTTTTAAAATGTTAAATATTCAAGTCATCTTGATCCTCCTAGACATCTTTCTATTTTCATCATATTATTTTTGTGTCATTTCTACTATAATATTTTCAAGATATTTCTATATCAAAACTTTGTATTACAATGTAAGATTTCTCACAACTATCAGAAAGTATTTTCAGTAACGATTTATGTTTCTAGGTATGAAACATGGACTTTTAAAAGAATGCTTTAAATCTTTTCATGATAAAAACACTCAGCTAACTAGGAATAAAAGGGATTGTCCTCAGCCTGATAAAGGATGTCTATGAAGATCTACAGTTAATATCCAACTTAATGGAAAAGGACTAGATGCTTTCCTTTTAAGATCATGAATAAGATAAGAATGTCCACCCTCACCAGTACCATTCAACATTGTCCTGGAGGTTCCAGCCAAGGTAATTAGGAAAGAAAAAGAAATAAAGAGATCCAAAATGAAAACTAAAAAGTAAAACTATCTCTATTCACAGATGACATGATCTTGTATCTAAAATACCCTAAAGAACCCTCTAAAAAATGATTAGAAATAATAAATGAGTTCAGCAAGGTTGCAGGATATACTATCAATATACAAAAGTCAATTGTATTTCTATGTACTTGAAAGGAACAATCCAAAAAATGAAATTAAGAAAAACAAAACCCCATTTATAATAGCATCAAAAATAACAAAATACTTAGGAAAAAATTTAACAGAAGAAGTGCAAAACTTATAATTTGAAAACAAATAAATATTGTTCAAAGAAATTAAAGAAGATCTAAATAAATTATAAACATTCTATGTTATGGATTGGAAGACAATATTTTTAAGACAGCAATATTCCCCAAATTGATCTATAGATTCAATACAATCCCTATCAGAATTCCCACTGATTTATTTTTGGAAATGGACAAACTGATTCTAAAATTCATATGGAATTGCAAGGGACACAAAATATCCAATACAATCTTGACACAAAATAACCAAGTGGAAGTCTCACGCTTCCTGATTTCAAAACTTACAACAAAGCAACTGTAATCAAGATAGTGTGATACTGGCATAAAGATAGATATAGATTATGTAATGGAAGTGAGAGTACAAAAATAATGCCTTGTGGGAGTGACATCAGCATCATGGCAGAGTGAGTGCTTCCCTTAGACTCTCCCCTCTAAGATACAATGGAAAGGACATTCATATCCTAAGAGAGGACAGTCACACAACACTAAAGATGTCTGCAACACACACAGCCATACGTCTGAAGATGGAGGTGCTGTACCCTTTGAGGAAATGGAAGGAGGTAAGGGGATCTCCTCTCCCTTCTGAACAGCAGTGGCCCCAGGACTGTGCATAGCACTGATAGGAGCAGGTAGGGGCAGCCCTTTGTGGGAAGACCTTCATTCTCCAAGTTCCCTTACAGCCAAAGGGAAAGCCACACACAGAGGTGGCTAAGATATTGTAGAGGTGTCTTCATCAAGCTACCACTCCGGGAGAGCAGATAGCAAGGGCATAGCAAGAACACCCCCAGGATCGCACAGATGAAAAAAAGTACCCCTCCCCTCGCCTGGCACTCCAGCTCAGCCAGTCAGCCAGAGTGTCCATGCATACCACAGAAAAGCAGTAGCTGTGAGCGAGTGAACTGCAGATCACAGCAGGCTCAGAATACACAGTTCTTGACCCCAACCCAGTGGTGGCAGGTGGAAGCTATGACCAAATACTATCACTATGCAGAGGCACAGATCCACACCATCAAACAATATGAAAAAACATCTTAATATTCCAGATGAGAAGGAAAATGACAAGTACCCAGAAATCAATCCTGAAGGCACAGAAATTTCTAATCTAAATGACAGAGAATTCAAAATAGCTATCATAGAAAACCTCAATGGGTTACAAGAAGATACAGAAAAAACAGTTCAATGAAATCAGGAACTTCTTTATGAAAGAGATTGAAACTATAAAGAAAAACCAAACAGAAATGTTGGAGATGTAAAACACAATGGATGAGATGAAGAATAACCTGGAATCCCTGAATAACGGAGCTGATATCATGAAGGACAGAATTAGCACCTTGGAGGACAGAAATGCTTCAGATGGAGGAAGGGAGAACTAAGACTAAAAAGAAATGAAGAAATTCTCCAAGAAATAGCTGACTCAGTTAGGAAATGCAACATAAGGATTATAGGTATTCCAGAGGGAGAAGAGGTGAATGGAGCAGAGAGTTTGTTCAAAGAAATAATAGCTGAGAACTTCCCAAACCTGGGGAAGGAGCTGGAAATATAAGTGAAAGAAGCTATTAGATCTCCTAATTATATCAATGTAAAAAGACCTTCTCTAAGGCATATGTTAGTAAAGCTGGCAAAAGTCAATGCGAGGAAAAAATATTAAGGGCAGCAAGGCAGAAGAAAATAACTTACAAAGGAATCTCTATCAGGCTTTCACCAGATTTCTCAGCAAACTTTACAGGCTAGGAGAGAGTGGAACGATATATTCACAATTCTGAAAAAACTTTCAGCCAAGAATACTCCATCCAGTGAAAATATCCTTCAGACATTATGGAGAAATAAAAACTTTCCCAGACAAACAAAAGCTAAAGTTCATTGCCACAAGACATGCCCCCCTACAAGAAATACTCAAGAAGGCCCTCATACCTGAACAAAAGAAAGGGGTTACAAAGCCTTGAGCAAGGAGATAATTAGGTAGCCAAAACCAGAAAAATTTCAGCTTCCTATCAGACTAGGTTAGTAAACACTTAATTTTAAGACTAAAGATAAAGGGAAAGAAAACATCAAAAATAAATAAAATCTCGTCATTTTAACCACAAACTCACTAGACAAGACGGAATAAGTCATGACAATAATAACATAGAAGGGGAAGAGGAAAGGGATGGAATTGGCTAAGGCTAAGGAAATAAGAAGCTATCAGAAAATGGACTATCGCATCTATGAGATTTTTTAAACAAACCTCATGGTAACCAATAAACAAATAATCAGAACAGAGACACAAATGATAAATAAAGAGAAAACTAAGAAAACCATCATAGAGAACTACCAGACTGAATTGGTATCTGAAATACACAGGACGAGAAACAAGGGAAAGGCAGAAGAACCAGAAAATGAGTGATAAAATGGCAACATTAAGCCCTGATATATCAATAATCACTCTAAATGTAAATGGATTGAGTTCTCCAATCAAAAGACACAGAGTGGGGGCTGGCTCAGTGGCGCAGCGGTTAAGTTCACATGTTCCACTTCAGCGGCCCAAGGTTTGCCAGTTCAGATCCTGGGTGCGGACATGGCACTGCATGGCAAGCCAAGCTGTGGTAGGCGTCCCACATATAAGGTAGAGGAAGATGGGCATGGATGTTAGCTCAGGGCCAGCCTTCCTCAGAAAAAGAGGAGGATTGGCAGCAGTTAGCTCAGGGCTAATCTTCCTCAAAAAAAAAAAAAAAAAAAAAGAGACGCAGAGTGGCAGGATGGATTAAAAAACAAGACCCAAAAATATGCTGCCTCCAGGAAACACCTCTCATCTCTAAAGACAAACACAGGCTCAGAGTGAAGGGATGGAAGATGATACTCCAAGCCAACGGAAAACAAAAGAAAGCCGCTGTTTCCATGCTTATATTAGACAAAGCAGACTTCAAGACAAAACAGGTGAATGAGAGATAAAGAGGGGGAGTATATAATG